TTATTTATTTATTTATTTATTTATTTATTTATTTATTTATTTATTTATTTATTTATTTATTTATTTATTTATTTATTTATTTATTTATTTGTTTGTTTGTTTGTGTGCTTGTTTGTTTGTTTGTTTATTTGTTTGTTTATTTGTTTTATTTATTTATTTATTTAGAGTGTTTTAGAAATATGAGTTACAATCAGTTATACTAGTTATAAAGAGATCTTGTTCTAAGGTCTCTGAATATATACTGCATGCAATAAATACCAATTCATTATGAAAGGCTCAATCTTCTCAATGAGGACAATGTTTTATATTCAACCCTACAGTTATGGTGGCATGTTAAGTGCATATATGAGATTTAAATATCCTAATCTTGTTAATGGTGCCATTGCTTCCAGTGCACCTATCTACCTTGTATCCAACCAGTCTTCTAGAGACTTCTTCTTCCAAGATGTTACAAAGGTGAGTAGGCAATAATTACATGGGTGTCTGTTTCTAGCAATGAGGAGAGCTTTTTTTGTTAACCATAAGATTTTTACAGCAAATGAATAGCCATATAGAGTATAAGGAGAACAGTCATTGATGATGAAGGTTATAGCAAGAAATTAGGACGTACCTATCTAAAATCAATGATATCATTTCCCAGTCTGTAACCACAGACTGATAACCATTTTTTATTATTATTCATGGTTATTTTGTAATTTACAGGTATTTTTTAATTAAAATTTGATAGATTTCTAGAAATTTTTCCTGTCAAATGAAGATTTGTTCCTTTCCAAAATGTGAAGTGTCTGTGTGCAATGATTTGTAAACAGTTGGCTGGTTAAAAGACTGTTGATGACTGACTTTCCAGATTACATTATATTATTACTCATATTTAGTCAGCGGTTACGTAAGCTTTGACAACATGTACTTAACCGTTTTTTTTTTTTCCTATCGTCTTCCGGGAAATAGACAAAGTAGGCATTGGGTAGTATTTGGGCAATTGACACATATTAACATGAAATGAAAACAATGCTTATGCACATAACAAAACAAGATGTGTAATTTGACTGTGGAAAAAAGTTTTTTTTTTTCTGAGCAAAAAATGAGCAAAAAACTTGTGAGAGACACTTGGCTAAGACCCACAAAGTTCATTGCATTGGAACATCTCTCACCTATCTTTGTGTTTTTGCTTTCATGTTTGTTCTTAAACTAAAAACATTGACATGTGAAAAGGTCATTTATGGGTTTATTTTCATGTTTGTTGAAATGGCAGCATTGGACTGATCAATGTCACAATGCAGCTATATGTCTTGCATCACTTTCATGTAAGTGAATAAAATTAAACCTATTTATGTGTGGTGCGTTCCAAGCATGTTAATAAATATTTGTTGTCAGAAATTCTTAATGCATGAATTATAAAATACAAGACAGTGTTGTCTAACATGTATGTATGTTTCCAAATTTGTACGACATTAGTCACAACTAAAATTTGTTCTGTTAGAAGGTGAATCACACTAATATAAACTGAGCAGTATTTAGTTATCTTATCCGTTTTATTTTCCAGGATTTTTCTCTTGCCAATAAGCAGTGTCCATCTGGTGTAAAACAAGGATTCCAAAGAATTGAAGATCTAGTTAACTCTGGTCCTTCCGGTATACTGACTTGTTTTCATCTCTCATATTCAAAACCGTCATGCTGATTGGCTGAAAGATGGTCACATGGTGTTGAATAAATCATAATATACCATTTGCATCACACTGATATTCAACTTTAGTGATGTCAGCATATGAATTATGTTATAGTCTTGTGTGTTTAAACAAACACATATGTTGTAAAATATGAAATATGGCAGATAACAAAATGTGTTGAATTGTGGGTAGAAGTGCTTTATAGTCTCTTTAAAGTGTAACTGAATTGGGACAATTGACTTTTTTTGTGTGCAAAATTTATTTATAAACAACATTATGAAAAAAAATCAAGTGAAAAGGGTATATAAATTGGGTAAACAGTCAATGATATTCCGAAATCGCGCCACGCCCCCCTCTCCCATCACCTTCGAGTTTTTTCGGCATTACGAATGTAACCGAAATGGCGCCACCAACGGGAGCATAAAGCATGAGCTAGCTAGCAGACAGGATTGTTTATCATTTTCCATACGCACGCGTTTCGTAAACATATACAACGAGTTACCACGATCGAGAATTCTTACGAGTTACCATCATATACAACGAGTTACCACGATCGTTTTCATGGGGAAACGCTGTGTTGTTGGCGGGTGTAGTAACACACACGGCGATCGCGTAAGTCTTTATGGGTTCCCAAAAGATTCGAATTTATGACATCAGTGGACCAAAGCCGTCAAGAACA